TTTATCCTTGTGAATAAAATTTCCCAAGATAATGGAAAACTCAACAGACAATAATAATTGTTATTATAATTTAATAATTAAAGTCAGTCTTTTCTTTGCTTWTTACAATTAGTTTTGTACTCCTACTACATTCATAAAGAAGAACAGTTATCAATAAAAGAGACTTCGGTGAAGTCCAGTTATCAATAGAGACAAACTACAAGCCACAGCTTGGCTGCATATTTCTCCTACACATTGGTTTCATGATTCACTGTACATCAATGCAACGGTGATACAATTTTATTCAAAAAATGGTGGGAAATACTGACCAGCCTATTTCTAATGCAGACAATGGATCAATTTGGGACAATTCTTAGTGAGCCACCATTTTTGGAATTAGTCTATTAAAKACATATATCAATTAATAAACCATCATTAAGGCAGATAAGAATTACCTGTTACAAAACCRACATCAGAAATGAGGTAAAAGCCTATAATAGTTCTAAATACCAGACATACTCCTATGTGCCAAAGACGAATAATCCATAGTTAATTTACATTTTATAATCCTGTAATGTGCTTGAGCTATGTCCTAAGCTACTGTCTTGTAGTGCCTGGTTAACAAACACCGAGTCGTCACTGCCTGTTATGGTATGCCTGCGATTGACAGGATCCACCTCTAGTACYGGATCAAGTTTATCTGCAGGTTTTGATAGTTGTAATGCACTTGCAGGTCTTGGAATGCGTTTTGAATCACCCAAAAATTTGTCTTCTGCATTATTGTATGTAATTGGCTTGCGGCGCAGTCCAGTAGAGCTTAAGAACGGTGATACAACATATGATACTAATGTTTCTAGTCTTCTGTGATTTTTACTTGGTGGAATTGAATCACGAACACTCTGTAATTAAACAAAACACTTTAGTATRAGCCCCTAAAAACAGAAGTTACTCTCTGCCTTAAATTTTGGTCATTGCAAATTGCTTAGTGGCAATAATGATAGGGTAGGGCGTTTACTTTGCAAAACATACGCTCTAAATAATGCTATAGCGATAAAGTAAAATTTTTGCCTTTAAAATGAATAATGTACTTGTTTACAGAATAAACATAGAATAGTTACCTGCAAAATGAGAAGCATTTGTACTACATGGGGGGGAGCTGGAAGCCCCATTTGAAAGGCTTCCTCGAGCTTTGTTTTCAAAACAACGATATCTCGAAATGTTATCAACGTAACATCACGAACGGAATAGCCATCAGCAGGTTGTAGATTCACGAAAATCGCTTGAACAAGCGGCAAAACTGTATGAAAGAAATGAGTCCATGTACTAGCAAGCTTTTCCAATAACTGTACACCGGAATTTACTTTTATATCTCGAAGAATAATCATTCCTTTGACGAGAATCTCCTCACGGAAGCGTTTACACAACTCCGAGTTCCCYATGTCAGATTTTACAAGCCTGACTTTCTCTGTTAAAGAATCCAGTTCTAAGTTTGCGAGCTTCTTTCTCTGAAACAAAGCTGTGACAGCACTAGTCACTGTTTGCCAGTCCTCCTTTGAGTTGGTAGGAAAATTGAATTTTTTCTCCACTTTTGGACTCCGTGGCCTCTGCATGATTATGGATGAATCCTTTGTTCTCCAAAGGTCTCCAAGGGTAGGTACTGGAGATTTAGCCATTGGACAGATTGTGGCAGATAAAGATCAAACATATAATGGAAAAGGTTTCAATGTCAATATGGCGGCGTACAGCTGGAGATTCCTTACCAGGCCTACGCGTGCACGTTAAAATAAACAAACAAACAAAAATCTTTAATTAAAAAAAACCTTTGCTTCAAGAGCGTTGAAATAAAATCTCAAATTTCTAAATTTCTAAATCTAAAAAAAAGATCAGTCAACAAGGTAGTTTTAAACAAAGTAAACTAAAATTCAAAAGAATTGTAACGATCGCTGGTCTTCCTGTGGATAATTTCTAGGACTTGGACTTATGCAAGGAACGCCTAGGGATTTTCCTAGTCACGAAAACGACATGTGACCGATGTGACCTGGTGTTTCGGGTTTTCTCCGCACACTGCCGTTTGCAGGTACAAAACTCTATATTTCTCAACAGTTACCTGAACGATTGAAAGAGAATYATGGAACGCAAGTCCGACATTGCAAGGTATAAAGCTTAAGATGCTTATAGTTTGAAAAGAAATAGCTTGCTAACTCTCTCTCGTGAAGTTTTATAMGTTAATAGACTAATACTGTCTGATGAGTCAGCGTAGCACGAAACTCGGAGTTACAGCAAAATCTTGCCTCTTTTATATTATATATATTTATATATATAAGTTAATAGACTACAGAATTATTGGTTAATTGTCCTTTCGTTCTTTTGTATTTAGTATTTGATAGTTAGTACTCTTTAAATGGTTGAATATATCTATATANGAAGGATAATGCTGTAACATTCTATCATTTTCAACAACTGGATGTCCGTTATGAAATGATTTATTTATTAAACCTGTTGACCTTAACACACCTTAACACATCATGCCCATTGATCCATCACTTTAAAAGTCCATTTTTTATCAATCAGTGTTGAACAATTATGATTTACGGGCCGCATTTGAAACTAAAAACTCAGTAGTGGTTATAAATGTAGTTAATTGATTAGTGATGACAAAGATCTCGATTTTTATGCAATTACTGGCGATTTTGATCGGAACGGAAGGCACAACTTTTTTATCAAACTATGATCAGTTTGATGAGGCAACAAGACGAAGCCAAGAGAGGTAAGAATATAGATCGACATGCAGTGTCTAGTAAATGTGGGCTACCAAAGGATACCGAACTACAATAACTAGCAACATCATAATAACAACTGTGGATTTTAATCGATCTTCTTCAAGTCATCAACAGTTGCTCATAAATGCGTAAACATCTGTTAGGGAGTTATTGATTTTACGTTAAGGCGAAATCTTAAGCTGCCAATGGGCGTTTCCCCTTTGCCTAGATTCAGATTGTGCGCGGGCCTTGTCACTTTTCTATCGTTCTTCTTTTTTGATACAACATAGTCATAAACCTGTGAACTGATACTCTCACTTGAGTTTAAAATCCGTGAACAATCATCTAATAGACAAGGTCTGACAGGAATTTTTTGTCGTTGCCATACTCGCATAAATCCGTGAAACGTACACTAATAGACGACATGAAGTAATTTCCATAATCCCATTCAAAATTCTTTTATCACAGTTCCAACAATTGGTTCATGAATGCAGGAATCCATACTATCTACCAGACTCCGGCACTTCATCGGCTTCGCAGAAAGATTCTTGGTGGACACTCAGTAACCATGGTAACTATTGGAGGCTCAAATTCTGCAGGAGGGGGAGTGGATAACCTGGCAGAAATTTACTCAAATCAGCTTGCTGATTGGTGGAACATAGCAGTTTACAATAAAACTGGATCCAGRATGACGTCATATAATTTGGCCATTGGCGGCACTGGAAGCGACTTCTTTTTATTTTGTTTTCAAAACTTTTTACTACAGGAAGCCCATCTACCAGATATAGTGCTAGTTGAATTGGCWGTCAATGATCTTCACATTCGTTCTGAGTATGGCAAAGCAGCTGTACCAATGGAACTTCTTACACGCAGGCTGTTATTACTACCATCAACTCCATTAGTTATTTATGTTGATTTGATAAACCCAAATATTGTTAATGGTAAAATARGAAACACAGSGTGTGTRARCATGGAGGATTATGGGTTTAATGAGCTTGCAAGGAACTATGGTATACCTGTGTTTAGTATAAGAGACATTGTCTGCCCTTTAGACAGTGACAATAAAAGAAAACTTGGCAACTCTAAGATTGACCTGTTTTCTAGAGATAATAATCATGTAGGTTACAGGACGCATACACTGCTAGCATCACTAATGATGAAATATTTCATCAAGGTAATTCATGAAATTCCTCCAAAGGTATCTCTTTGGCCACTGAAAGCAAAGCAACTGTTTAGTAGCTCTTCAATTAGCAATAAGCAAATTACTGATATGAAATGTTTTTCATACTTATTACCAAACTGGAAAGTACCCTTACAGCAAACTCTACATGCTCAGGTGGTCAGATYTGACAACTTTAACTACCGCTCACCATTTGAAGGGCGATGGSTTGGGAAAATGCGCACAGATGCTTCAGGTGGTTGGTTTGCAAATCCAGGRCTTGTTCATCTTGAAGTTCAGTTTTATATCCCAAGCAGCCAATCAGAATCATCTACATTGCACTCAGTTGTTGTATTATTAAAATATAATGAAAACCTTCCACTATCCCTAAAGATATGGTTGAATGATGCAAATAGGAGTTGTACTCAAATGGTCATCTTAAGTGATGGTCCTGGTAGAGCAATAAATCAAGTATTTCCTGTCACAGGAGAGGCATTGCCTGGTAACTATACACTTACTATTCAAGGACATGTCAAATRCTTGCATTTCCTTGGTATGGCTGTGGGATACCCTGGTTTCTATGGATACCAAGGCTACAAAGACATTAATGGTGCAATAGGCATTTGCAACTGGAATGTAAATACTGATCAACAAATACACTATATGGTGTCATAATTATAAATTTTATTGACA